TTAGAATTAGGTAGTCTAAGTCATCCAGGTTTTTTGTTGTTGTTGTTGTTTGTTTCAAAATTGTGCTAGTTATTGTAGCTCTGTTTCTTTTCCAAGAAAATCTGAATCAGTTTGACAACATCAACAAAACAGAATCTTGGAATGGGAATAAGTCAATTTGGAAAGAGTTGACATCTTAAGACTCATGAGTCTTTTGACCCATGTATACATTATCTCTCTCCATTTTTCTTCTTTTACTATCAAAAAGGGATGGTTTTCACTACAGAAGTTTAGTACATATTTTTGGTAGATTTATACCTAGTTATTTCAGCTTTGGTACTATCGCAAGTGATATTTCTAGACAAATTTCAAAATATAGTTGCTTATTGCTAGTATATAGGTATGCAATTGATTTCTGCATCTTTACTTTTGTAGCTTTGTCTAACTCATGTTAGTTGTGGGAACATTTTAATTCCTTGGGATTTCCTACATGTCATCTCTGAATAAGGTCAATGTTATGTCTTCATTTCCAAACTGTATGGCTTTTCTCTTTCTTGGTTTATGCAGAGATGTTGAAAAGGAGTGGTGAATGCATACTTCCTTGACCTTTTTCAATCTTAGGAGGAAAAAGTCCAGCCTTTAACCCTTAAGTATTAGGATTGCTAAAGGTTTTGTGAATATTTTTCAACAGATTAAGGGAGCTCTTTTATGTCCCTGCTTTACTGAGTTTTTATGAATGGATGTTTAATTTTGTTAAATGCTTTTCCTGCATTTATGTTTTCTCTTCTTTACTCTGTTGACGTGGTGGATTACAGTGGATTTTCAGAATCTGAACTAATCTGAACTCCCCAAGATAAACTTCATTTGATCACAATGGATAACCCTTTTCTTACACACTGCTGGGTTAATTTAATATTTTGTTGGGGATTTTTGCATCCATACTCATGAGAAAGCAGTGACATGTAGTTTTCTTGTACTTTTGATTTCAGTATCAAGGTAATACAGGTCACGTAAAATGAATTTCAAAGTGTTCTCTTCCATAAAATAGTTCATTTACATTTAGCATTTGGCAGAACTCATCAGTGAAACTACCTAGCCGTAAGTTTTCTTTGCAGAAAATTTAATTACTAAGTAAATTTATTAAATAGATATAAGACTGTTTTAAGTCACCTACTTCTTGAATAAGCTTTGGTAGTTTGTCAGTTTCGAGAAATTGGTCCACTTCACCGAAGTCGTCAAATTTATGAAAACAAATTTGTTCCAAATATTGCATTATTATATTCTTACAATTTGGGGGGGGGTCTTTTATATTTCTTAGCAATCTAACTGGAATTCCTCAATTTTACTGATCTTTTAGGAACTAGTTTTGATTACCATGATGGGTTCAGTTTTCTGTTTACAAGTTATTGGTTTGTGTTTATTTCTATTATTTCCTTTTCCCACTTGCTCTGGATTTAATTTGTTCTTCTTTTTCTAGTTCCTTAAGGTAGAATGTAAATCACCAATCTGTGACTTTCATTCTTCTCCAATATTATCAAATCCCCTTTAAACATTCCTGTGGCTGTATGCCACATATTTCTATGTTGTATTTCCATTTCCATTCAAATTCTATTATTTTCTCAATTCCCTTAAGAATCCTGTTCTTTTTTTTTTATTAATGCATTATTTTAAAATCTGTTATTTAACGCCCAGGAATTCCAAAGACCTTTCAAAATTTTCTGTTACTGATATGCAGTTTAATTCAGGCAAGGTCAAAGAATATACTTTGCATGACTTGTTATGTTTAATGGTACAGAATCATTCGTCTTCCAAATCACGGGCGGCTGTTTAGTTCCTGGGTTAGGGGAGGAAGAAAAATCTTTCTCCTTTACCCACAGGACAGGCACATGCAGTTTAAAAACAGACACATAGTACACTGTGACCGTACAATCTCGTACAGGGCGATTTAAAATCCCTCCTTTGGGAGGGACAATAATAAAAAAAAATAGCTGAGAAACTGGTTTAGAGGTATTCCACCACACTGTTTTATTTTCATTTTGGTTATATTGGTCATACAGAAAAACATAATTAAAAAAAAAACTCCATGTCTCAAGACCCAGATTTAAGAGATGTTAACATTTTGCCAAAAACGCTTTTCGAGTATCTTTTTGAAGAAGGAATGCAACGCAAATGTAACCCGCCTGCCCACCCCCCGTCTGCAGCGAGCCTCGTCTCAGTGCGGGGGCCGCCGCACCGAGTGCTTCCCTAACTCTGGGATGCTGTTCCATGTGATAAAGGCGTCTGTTGCTCAGGTTTCCCTCTTGAATTTCTGAATTTTCAAAGATCCTGGTATATTAACTACTACGTAAATGGTGTACTGGTGCTATGTCGTTATTTTAAAATTAAGATTTCTTCCTGCGTTGTCAAATACCCTTCTTCTGACGTACATTTTTAATAGATATAATGTCCTTAGAACGTCTGTCTGTGAACCACAGACGCTCTGAAGCCTCACCTCCCGACTCCCCACGGCATTCCAGGTACAGGGCCTCCCTCCCCGGCCCGGTCTCCACACTGTCAGGTGGTGGTGGTTGGTCTGAGACACCCCCCCCCCCCGCCCTTCCTGTGAGTGCTGTGCCCGCACTGCAGTTTGCTCCTGCGCGTGTGTGGGGGCAGGCGCTCCATTCCCCGAAGAATCATCAGTCCCCTCTCTCGCGTGTCTAATTCACTGGTCAGCTCTCCTGTCTACTGAACTGTCCTAGTGACAGCACTGCTTTTGTTTCATAGGCGTTAGGTAAGGAAGTTAAAGGTAATGAAACGCCTTTTGACTTACAGGTGAAGTTTATTAAAAACCTCCATTACTGACCAGGGGAAGCATTTCCTTATACAGTAGTAAAGAGCAAAGAGTCACCACATCTGAGCACCCAGGGCAGGCCTCTTGAGTCTGCGGTGCGTAGGAGGCATCCTTACTTTCTCCAAAAGCCTTTGTGTGTCTCGATGTGGTGTTGAAGGGGTCTCATCTGCACGCTACATACTTTGCACATCATCTCCAACAGCGACCTGGGTGCACCGCCCTGCGTTTGAGGACTGACCCGTCTGGGTTCTGCAGACGTTGTCCACGTTACTAACGGAAGGCAGGGCTGTGACTCAGGTGAGGTGAGGGGCACCTGCGTTACCTTGAGAGTGTCCCCTGAAGGGAAACACTCTAGATGCTCACTTGCTGCATATTCACCCCAGCCCTTGGAAAAAGCACAACTGGAAAACCATGATAAGGCAGTAATAATTTACAGATCATATACTGTGTCCGTTCTGACTGCTCCACCGACCGGCCTTCACCCACCCATCTCTCCCCCCTCACACTTCCCCGCTCCCCAAAACACAGCAACTGAAAACAGGCCAGTGAATAACACTGCAATGGCCTCTAAGTTTCAAGTGCAAGGGAGAGTCACACGTCTCTCACTTTAAATCAAAAGCTAGAAAAAGTTAAGCTCAGTGAAGGTGGCATCGCAAAAGCCAAGGCCTCTTGCACCAAACAAACACCCAAGCTGTGAATGCAAAGGACAAGTTCTTGGAGGGACTGAGAAGGGCCACTCCCCAATGATAAGAAAGTGCCCGGGCCTTAGTGCTGGTGTGGAGACAGGTTTACTGGTCTGCATAGAAGACCGAACCAGCCACAACACTCTGCAAAGCCAAAGCCTAGCCCAGAGCAAGGCCCCGACTCTCTTCAATTCTGTGAAGGCTGAGAGAGGGGAGGAGGCTGCAGAAGAGCCTGAAGCCAGCAGAGGTCAGTTTATGAGGTTCAGGGAGAGAAGCCGTCTCCCCAACATCGAAGTGCAAGGTGAATCAAAAGTGCTGACGTGGAAGCAGCAGCGAGTTACCCAGGAGACCTGGCTGAGATCATTAATGGGGGTGGCTGTATTAAACAACGGGTTTCGGTGCAGATGAAACACAGGTATACCTGTATACCACCTGTACAGTGGTATATAGGTAAAAATTTTAAAAGGGCGTTAATTCATAAAATTAAATTTTGTTGCTTTTGTTAGCCTGATGTTGGAAGGAGATGCCGTCCAGGACTGTCAGAGCTGGAGAGAAGTCACTGTCTGGCTTCAAAGGGTCAAAGGACAGGCTGACTCTCATTAGGGGCCGATACAGCCGGTGATGCTAAGTTGAAGCCAGTGGTCACTTACTATTCCGAAAACCTGAGGGCCCTTAGGAATTAGGCTAAATCTACTCTGCCTGTGTTCCATAAACGGAATAACAGCACATCTGTTTACAACAAAGTTTACCGAATATTTTAAGCCTACTATTAGGACCTCAGTAAAAAAGATTTTCAAATTATTATTGCTCATTAATAATGCGCCTGGTCACCCAAGAGGACTGATGGAGAGGTACAATGAAATTTAATGTCTGTCGTTTTCATTTCTGCTAACATAACATCCATCCCACAGCCCATGGATCAAGGAGTAACTTTGACCTTCAAGTTTTATTATTTCAGAAATACATTCATAAAGCTCCAGCTGCCACAGACAGTGACTCCTGTGAGGGACCAGGGCCAGTGAATTGAAAAACCTTCTGGAAAGGATTCACCATTTTAGATGCCATTCAGAACATTTGCACTTCATGAAAAGAGGTAAGCATATCAACATTAACAGGAGTTCCAGAGAGCTGACTCCAGCCCTGAGGGATGACTCTGACGGGTTTAGGACTTCAGTGGAGGCAGCGAATGCTAGTGTGGCAGGAATTGAAAGGACTAGAACCAGGAGTGGAGCCCAAAAATAGATAAAACTTTTAACAGATGAGGACTTGCCTCTTATGAGCAAAGATAGCGGTTTCTTGAGGTGAAATCTACTCCTGGTGAAGATTGTTGAAAAGACAACCAAAGATTTAAAATATAACATAAACTTAGTTTAAAAAGCAGCATCATTTTGAAAGGGATGTCTCCAATTTGTAAAAAGGTCCTACTGTGGCTAAACATGCTGTCAAACAACATCACATGCTCCAAAGAAACCGACCTGAAAGGAAAAGAGTCAGCCGACGCAGCCGCCTTCACAACCAGCCCCCGAAGGGTCCGCAGCCACCGAGACAGAGGCAACAAGAGAACAGGCCTGCTGGCGGCTCAAATGACAGTAGCATCTTTTAGCAAAAGAGTATTTTTAAATTAAGGTATGCACATTGCTCTTGTTAGCTATAATGCTATCACAAGCCAATGGACCACCATATGGTGCAGACGTAACTTTGATATGCACCAAGAAGTCAACAAACGTGTATGACCCGCTTTACTGTGGTCGTCTGGACCCAACTCCTGGTATCTGTGAGCTCTGCCTGTATGAAAAGTCCCTCTACTCACACACACGGAACTAATTTCACTAAAGGAAGAGATACCTTTATACGGGAACATCGGCACCTTCTGAGTGGTATTCTGATAGATTGTGAGGGCCCAAAAATAAAAGATGAAATGAGGGCAACAGTACAAATTTCCTTAACTGAAAAAAATCCCCCACCACTAAAAACAAACAAACAAATAAAACCCAGAACAAAACAAAACAAAATCAGAACTTCTACAGGAATGAACAGAAATAAGATAACTTTAAAAAAATTTCTCAAGTAAGTACACTGGTATACAGGTAAAAAATTTAAAAGGCTGTTATTTGTAAAATTACAGTAAAATTTAAATTTAATGTAAAAATTACTATAATAAATTTATGTAATTATCAAATTATACTCTCCTAGCAGTATAAAACACATTAAAAATTAAGAACATCATTTTATTGGAAAGAAAATAATTTATTATATATGAAGTTAATTAAAATGCACATAATACATCTCCGATAAACTAATTTAAGTGAATATAAGCTTAATTTTTGAATACACTTTAAAAGCCGTTACGCACAGTTCCACAGCCCAGGAGGTCAAGTTCTTCTCCAAGGTGGAAACACAGGAAAGATACGGAATTCAAAAGGAACCTAGAACAGCATAAAAGTTCATTAAAAAGAATCATGTTTATTAAAAAGTTCATTAGTTTCAAAATAACCAAAACCAAAATATTTATTTAGAAAATTAGTGAATCATGTCAGGACTAAATTTTAATTGTCTGAAACAGAGCTCAACATTTACAACATTAAAAATTGATTTACAACATCAAAAGTTGTAGTATTTAACTTCCCTGTCAAAAAAAATAATAGCAATTTCAGCATTTATGCGTACTCTTAGGGAAAGAATGGTTAACAGATTTTTTGAATTGTCTTCACAGCACTAATAAAAGCAGGATGGCCAGGTTAGAACTCGGCACCAAACCATTTTCATCTCACAAAGCAGATTCCAAACTGACCAGTCCTTACAACCACACACAGGCAACCTCATCAACTTAGATTCTTTCCCCCGCTCCCAGAGACTCCCATTTACTCGTTCTAGGCTGGAGTTCAGGAATCTTTATGTCTAAAAACCCTTCCTCCGTGTTCTCAGCCAGTATCTGCTGCACACCAGGTAAGTCAAAACTCGGGGGGAGGAACTTCAGTATATTTTTTAGCGTGTCTTTCTGTTTGACATTTTAATCAGTACTTTTAAAGAGCTTCCCAGGTCATTCGAATGTGCAGCCAGGACTGAGAACCTGCTCTGGGTGGTTCTGTCCGGGACCAGCCCGGAAACCACTCTTCCACGATACCCACCGGGGGCCGCCTCCTCTCACTCAACGTGCTACCCTGGGCCAATGTTCTGTCTTCCACCTCTGCTACTCTTTCTTCTTCCTTTGGTTTGGTTTGATTTGGTTTAGAAACAAAAAAGAGGAAAAAAAACTTCTAGTGCTATTTATCTCAATGGTGAGTTCTATAACCACTCCTCCTCTGTGAGGTCTGCCACTCTTATTTGGAATTTATACAGGAATCCAGTTGTTTTATTGCAAGTATTTGTAATTTTTAAAGGAAAAAAAAAACCTTTCCCCAGCCAAATTTTACAACACATTATACAGAATTTCTAAACCAGACATGTCATGAAACAGAATATAGGGGATACTGAATCAGGTCCAGAAAATACATAAACGAAGAAAATGACTAAATTCTGTATCAGAGTAAAGGCACACATTCTACAAAGCAAACAAACTGACCTGATTCATTAACTTTCCCTGCAAAAAAATATGTAAGCTAAAGAACAGAATAGAAAATGTAGCAACAAATCTAAAAAAAACCCACACAAGATTGGTTTAATCAGCAGTGATATTCAGCAGTACTTCCTTGAAATTGTAAAAAAATTGTGGCTTCATCTGGATCCGTGGGTGGGTGGAAGGGACAAAACATTTAAGAAAAACAAAAACCAAAAAGTGCGGCCCCCAAAAGGATACGAGAAAGGATACACTGTGTGTGTCAGTTACGGCAGCGTGTGCGCAGGGTGCGTCTAAGGAAGAACAGCAGACGGCAGTTTACTTTCTTCTCACATTCCACATCGAATTCACAATTAAATGGGTTTTTTTAAACACACTGAAAACTGTTTATTTTTCACTGTTTCACTGAGGTTTCTGTAGGATTTCTAACTAAACTAATATAGACCCTTTAAAACAAAACTCAGATATTCAGGGTATCTCACAAAAGGAATAAACATTAAGCAAGATTTTCTCCAAGTTATAGAAAATTTTTTTAAGCTGAACACCAGGCATTTTGACCCATTTACTTCATGTTCTCCTAGCATACCAAGGCAGAAAGATTTTAAAGAGAAAACGAAAAGTATGTATTTTCATTCACCTTTCCTAAATCAGTCAACTTTAAAGTTGGAAATGCTTAGAAGACAAAAGATTCCATTCCACAAAAGATGCCTATCTATTTCTTTGAAGTGTTCAATGAGTAATTAGTAATGCAAATTTCTCAGGCCCCACTGAGGGTGACCAATCTGTCCTGAGGTGGCCCAGCCGTCCCAGAAAAGTGTGGGGAGGGGTGCCGACTTTGAAGTTTGATGGGAATTAACTGCAGACAGGCAGACAGACAGACAGATGGATCTGACTGAGCCCTTCACAATCTTAGGAGGCACTTGAGTTATTCCTCCATTAGGGTTTTACTCTTCCTAACTTTCAGCTCAAACAAGGCTCCTCCTTTTATTAATTTATGCCCATACTCACCTGTACCAGTTGTTAACGCCGCCTTTTTCCTTCTTTAGGATCCTGTTTTGGTCTCGCAGATCGAGCAAACTGCTAATAGTTAAGCGTTAAGGATTTCTTCTCAAACATGAAAGTAATCTTTTCTAAGGAATTATCAACTTTCTCATTTAGGGTAGGAATGCAGTTTTTGAATTCATCTTTTTAATTTATTTTTCTACTCTCAGACATTGGCCAAATATTTCTTTATCTACCTGCTGTCCCTGGAGAAGAAGCAAACAATTTACCTTTTCTCTCCAGCTAAAATATATTTTATAACTAGACCTTCGCTCCTTCGTCCATCCTGCTGGTTTCTGGTTTGCAAACTGCATTAACTACTAACTAAAAGTAGGACGGTTCATAAATCATACATTGTGGCTATTAAAATTCTCAAATACAAATATGAATTACAATATGCTAAACTATAAAATAAAACTCCAATGAACCACATCTTTAATGATTCCGAATGTGTTTCTGGATTTTGAAGTCTCAAGCTTGGCATGAATACATTGTTCTGAGCTACATAAGTGAAACGTTTAGACTTGGCTAAATTCTAATAACCTCACACTGCTGAGGTTCCTTTATTTTTCAATGAAAACCGAAATAAAACTCATCTGACTCAGGTAAGTCCGTTTGTAACCGTCTCAAGTCAGAATGCCAGCTGTTGAGTCTTCTTATGGATAACAACAATCCGTTGCAACGACACCCTCCTCCTAGAAACCACCGTCTTTCAAACAGACCGATCTGGAGGATACGACCACCATCGGCTTTCCAAAGAGAACGTATCCATTCGCTTCCTTTAAGGCTTTCGCTGCCGCCTTCTCGTTCGGAAGCCCGACGAAGGCCTGCCCCTTCATGCGGCCCTCTCTCATCAGGCGGACGTCAAACCTGGGGGCGGGGCAGAGGGGTCTGGGTTCACAGAAGGTCGCACCATTCTGATGGAGCGAATGGAAACGTGCTGAACATTTACAACTTTGGTATTTCAGAGAAAAACACAGCTATACAATCTAACGCATAAATGACTCAAGCTTTCTAAGATTGTATTCTGTATTCAGTTCTAAAATTGATTCTATAGGTAGGTAATATAATTTTGAGGATGAACTTGTACCTACCTTTTTAGCTGTTTTACATGTATTTGTGATTTAAAAATTTTAATACAAGCAACTATAAAAGCAAACTGCTTAAGTTTTTATTTCATATCTTTATTTTAAAAAATTTCATGAAGGCAATTCAATACTACCCACTCCAGTGACAAAAAACAACTACGAGCCGGGAAGAGAAGGACTGGCAGAAACCAGAGCAAAGCCACGGGCTTCCAGAGCGGGAGGGCGTCACCCCCCACGGAGTCAGAGCCCGGTCGCACCGGTGGTCTTCGCAGTCCCCCATGCGCTCGAGTCAGACACGGAGACACCAACTAGAGCCTTTCATTACGACTACAGGGTCCCGCTGTTCCACAGGGTGTTAGTTTTCAGCATTTCTGAGACAAACTATATCCAAAACTCCTTAGAAAAATCAGGCTGTAGCTTGTAACTCAAGTATAGCTTGCCATTTAGATAGTCTAGAGGACTAGGCCAAAGCATTTTATAAAGCATTAAAACTGCAGTAACGGTTTAAAAAATTCACATAACTAGTCTTGTGTGAAACAATTGTTAATTTATCATTTTGTTGTGAATTGCCTTCTCAATATAGAACTTTTTTCCCATCAAAATCTAATTACAGGCAACACTAGAAATAGAGGAAAAGAATACATATACACATTTGTGTATATTTATGTATATTTAATATCTATTTTTCTTATAATCACATTCAAAGGCAGCAACAAGAACAAGGCCCAGGGTTTCACAGGGCCAGCAGAAACCAACGAGGCGTCCTGATAAGAAGAGGTGTCCCCCCTGACGGGTATGATGGGGAATTACGAGACCTGTGTGTTCCCGTCCGGACAGACACAGGCCGGATAAGACTGCAGCAGTACTGCTTGCACCGGGAGTTTCAAACAAAATTAACTAGTTGTGAGTCACTCCTCCCCCTTACCCTCACTGAAAAGTCTCTCTTCTCATCTTTTCTACTTCTTCCGACTTCTAATTACGAGGCAAAGGGTCTTGTATCGTTAGGAGTTATTATGGAATCACAAAGAATAACATTCTAACTCCAAACACTAGCTTCCACATCATTACCAATTGGATCCTTCTCTCCCACTCTCATGAAACTGGGAGCCCCGCTTAACGCACTGCCCATAAATCTCACCGCCAGGGTGAGAATCTAACAGTCTCCTGGCTGCTATCACTGATGAGTCATCAGAACAGCGGTGTTCCAAGTTCGATCTCTGCGCCGGCAGCTTCGGCGCAGCCCATGAGCTTTTTAGGAACACACGTTCGTGGGCGCTACCTCAACCAGAAAACTGTCTGCCCAGCTCTTCCGGTCATTTCTACACAGGCTGGCACGTGGCAACCTCTGCTGTAGCCGGAATCCACGACAAGGCCACTGCGTGAGGTTTCACTCGGACTCAGCCGTGAACAGCCGTGAATGTACTGTTCGTGCCGCTTCCACACTACAAAGGCGGAGGTGAGTATTGCAACAGGTACCATATGGCCCACAAGAAAACGGAAATATTACATTTCTACGATCTGCCCATTTTCAAGGAGGCTGCTGAATCCTGTTTGTAACCACAGGGAAAAAGCTGGGGTAAACAAGGGGCTTGGTTTACAACCCATGAAGAAAATCAGCTGATAATATCACTTCCACTTACATTATTCGTTGTGTTTCTGATGAAAAGTCAACATATCTTCCAAAAATAAACTTAAGGTCCTAGAATTTCAACAAGAGAAAAACAGATAAGGAAGTCCAGCAAAAAAAATAAAGTAAAATAATAAAATTTATTTGTAAATTTCAACCTACCTTTTCTTGAACATGTTTAGCCAAATTCTTTACATAAATTCTACAGTTTGGTTCACCGGGTTCATAACTTCTGAAAACCGAAAGTGTTTCCATTTCTTATTCAAAAACAAAACACAGAAGGATATAAAGTTAAGATATTTTTATGAATTTTTTAAAAACCTATAACATTGAAATATAACTGTTAGACAAAATAAGCATTATGAAAATGTTAAAACCATAAAAATTAAAAGTAATGTTATGGGATAAAAATACCCATTAAAAACCTGAATTGATAAAAGGAAATAAAGTATAAAATTTCCAGGCATCTAAAATAACTAAAATTTATCCCACACAATATCTACTTGAAGTTCCTCTTAAGATGAGTTACTTTACTAAAAGAGACTGAACTCAATGTTACCAGTTGTCGGTATAATCGCTTTGCTTAAAGTCAGTTTCCCACGTCACTAGGCACCAGCACATTCAAAGGGAAGAACGAGGACTCACACGTGATATGGGAGTATTTCCGACAAACACAGCTCCCGAATCCCTGTACCACTTCCCCCACTTAGTGTCAATAATCTGTTCCCGACAGCGAGACGTTCTGCCTGGTAGAAACCTGCTTCCCGTGATTACAGGAAAAATTGTAAGGTGTTCCATGTCAATCTAAAACTCCTAAATATCTTCCCAAAATGTATTAAAAACCAGGAAAAAGTCCTTTGGAAGTAAAAAACTATCGTGTTCAGATATGAAATCCTTAAATACTGACCTCCAATCACCAAACAGTAACAATTGTTGGTTTTAAACAAACAAGGGCTGCGCCCCAGTCTCGGGCACAGCACCGGGCTGGCCCGTCACCTGGAATGGGGATCTCCAGATTGCGGCCACGGGCCCTTGTTTACGATGTTTCAGAAAACATTCAGGAAAAAACAACGGTGTTTCCAAACGTGAATCAGAAACATACTGACAGAGACTTTCCTCCCCATGAAGTCTGGGCGTTAAAATCGAAAAGCGGCCAACAAACCTTAGCCGAGGGGTGTTTTGAAGTCTGTGCCCATAGGTAAGGAGCAGGCAGGATTTGCAGTTTTGTTCCTGCACGGTGGCAGAAATGTAAAATGGAGTAAGTGCTGTTTACGTCACGGAATTACCTTCTCTGGAAATCCTGCCCTTCTCCAGCTCCCTCCTGGAAATACACTCCGACGGCATCTCATCGGAGTCTTCCTTACTTTCCTCGGCGACGTTCACGTTAGGCTTGGGGAAGATTTTTCCAAATCCTACACTGGATGAGTCCACCTCCTCAGCAGGTGAATCTAAGAGTTAACATCAACAACAGCCGTTAAACACCCCTCCCTTCCAAACAGTGTCCGGGCCTGCAGACTTTAACTGGACAGGGTCAAAGAGTGAACTTTCCAGGGCTCACAGGCCACATGGTTCCCATCATGACCCTCCAGCTCTGCCACTGTGACAGGGGAGCAGCATAGACGACAGCAAACAGCCTGCGGTTGCTTCGCGGTGCATTTTGGGGGCCTGGGAAGTGGGGAGGAAATGAACTCATTTTCTACATACGGGGAGGGCGAAAGTAGGTTTAGGGATCTCCATGCGGAAGAAGACATGCAGGTTATGATTATTGCAGTGGCTTTATTAACTCAAGAGGTCGCAGTGCATTGCAAACCTACCTTTGCCCACCCGTATTTAATTTATATTTAGTCTGAGGTACCAGAAAGGCACCCAATGAAACATGTAGTTGATGACGAAGAGGCAGAATGTGTGTTGGGGGCGGGGGCAGGGCAATAATCAACATCGTGTTTAACCTGCCCACTGAGAACTATTAACACCTGTGTGAAAACACTGCCGTTCATCAAAGAATCACATAATTTTAAAAGGCCTTCTGCTAACGGGGTGTGGTGATTCAGGGTTATTTACAGAGTGGGTAAAAAGATTTCATAGTACTGCACCAGAATGCTGTGAAACAAGTATCGACCTTCCCAAACACAATCGCTGAATAAAACATCATAAAATAAGATGCTCCTATTTGAATATACTAAAAAAGATCCATTAAACCTCCACTCCCAAAAAGAAAAAAAAGTCAATCCTAATCTTCATCCTACAGGAAGTTAAGAAAAAGAATTATTTGCATACTTAAGAAATTACGCATTCAATTATGAAAATTCAAAACACTGTAAATTTTTTATTTTAGACAACAACATTTAGTGGATTTGACTAATGAAGCATGACTATTAGCTCCAGGGAGAAGTAACCTGGCTTGGCAGAGGAGTCGGGAAGGCCGAGAGTCAACATTCACTAGAAAAACCTTAGTTGTACCACCTACCAACAAGCAGACCCTCCGAAAAGCTGTGAAACGGTGCAAAGATCACGCTGCACAGAGGAGTGTGGAAGTGAACACAGGCCCCGGTGGCCGCCGCAGACACGGGGCCCAGGCGACCTGGCTTCCGTCCTGCTTCAAGGGCCCCGCTAGACTTGCAGAAAGGGCGGGCGGTCTCCCTGTCATTGCAGGGCTGAGCCCTTGGCTAAGTGAAGCTTCAAAGCTTAGAGACGAGAGAAGGAAGAAACGCACACAGCAGGGAAAACGCAAACACTGAGCCGGACAGGAGAGGAGCCGGCTGAAGCGGCAAGGCACTCCCGCTGGCCGCGGGGGCTGGGCCTTGGAACCAGAGGCGGCTCTCCGTTCCCGCACCGGCTCTCCCTTCCGCACCGCAGTGCCCGCCGGGACTCCCACCTACGCTCCCGCCTGCGCTGCAGACACCCGAGCAAAGACCATTTCCCGTGACAGCAAAAAAGGGGAAGCCCCCTCAGCTTCTGCGGACAGAGCATGCGTGATAACCAGCGATACGACTACACCGCTGGGGGTCAGGGGGCCGTGAACAGCAACACACACGCTTTCAGGCTCCGACCTAACGAGCTACTCCCGCTGCACTCCCAGCTCCGAAAGCGCAGTGACCACGTCTGACTTGCCCTCCAGGGCCTTGCTCGGAGCCCACCTCGCTCTGGGCTTCCCACGGGTCGCTCCTGCGTGGATGACCAATCCTGTGCACAGAACGAGGTCCGGAGGGGCCTCCATGCACCAAACCGTCAACGGTGGCTTTTTCTGAGTAGTGGAACAAGGGCCCAGTGGGTGTGAAGTGCTAACTTCTAAAAGTTGTACTTTACTCGCCCTTGTTTCAGTCACATTTTCTATAAACTTGTATTATTTCCAAAACTTAAATAAAAGATTTAAAGAACAAAGGAATGCTCGTTTATGATCAAATTAAAGCCTAAAATAAGCAGGAAAAATATCTGTGAATTCAATGAACTATCTTTACACTTCAAACAGCATCTTGGTAAACAATCTCCCCTGTTTCGATTCTTAGAAAGTTACATAAAATCTACAACTCACAAGATAGTCACGGTACTGTTTTCTACCAATAACACTAACAAAACCACTGTAGTAATAAAACCACTGCACATCGCCTGTAACAAGCAACACAAAACTCGAGAACGTCTTCTATTATATTTGTAGTGTCGACATCAGCACAAGCTAGACTGCACTTGCCCTGGAGTTCGTCAATGACAAAACACAAGTGACATTTTCATTGTTAACTGAGCACCAGTTCCAATTTCAAAAAAAAAGGTTCCAAATGGGTAACAGTCCCTGATATTGAGGAAGGCCTAATTGTATATTTTAAACAGTCCACAAACACCAAGACAGAAACATCACACACAAAATTTACTTCTAGCACAAAACGCTGAGTGAAAAGACTATTCACACAGCATATTAAAGAGCTAGAACAAACATGCTTACCACGATTCTGTTCTTCACAGTGTTGCTCCTTTTCTAAATCTTTCCTTAATGCAGGTGGCACGTCAGTATTTATATGGAATTCAATTTTTTTGCTCCCCACCGGCTGGGGCTGATCGAACACATCCGACGGGGACAGCACGGGGTGCACGCTGCTGTGTGGGAAGGACCAACAACTGCGCTGTTACTTTGTAACCGGAAGTAGGACCCCCCAGGGAAACACCACTTCCCCTTTGCTGTGCGTTTTGGAAGTTACACCGGAAGGCATTCACACCACAGGCATGGCGCAGAGTAAACCTTCCGTCTGCCACACCAATAAACCCTGGCACATCTGCTACTATTCAGTCCCAGTTTAGATGGACAAGCAGACTGGAGAGACGCTAAGAAATTGCATCGACTCGCTCAGTAAGTGACAGTACGTGAGGACTACTGGTTCTGAACTGAAGGTTACTTGACGACATGCAATGAAAGCTCATTCTACATTTAATATAAGCCTTTTATGCAGTGTATTCATATACTATACGATACAGCTGTCCAACGGAATAGACAGTGAACGTTTAAAATGTTGCCATCCAAATTAAAATATGCTCTAAGGATAAAATATACTCTGGACTTTGTTAATATTGCACAAAAAATGTAAAACATCAATAACATTTTATATTAATTACATGCTAAGTAATATTTTATGTATAATGGGTAAATTATATATAATGAGTAAAACATATAATGGGTAAAATAAAATATATCATTAAAACTAATTACATCAGTTTCTCTTTATTCTTTTATTGTAGCTATTAGAACATTTAATTTGGTTCACATTATTTGATTTTTAATTGCTCAGGGCTCCTAGAGATCAAATGCATGACACTGGTGTCCAGACAGACAGAGGCAGGAAAAACACTTAAGATGAAATAAAAACAAACAAGGATTAAAAATTCATTCCTTTAAAAATAAAAACAGATACTTTTAATAAGTTCCTTTCTCAATTCATGAAGTTACTTACAAATTCGAGGGAAATTTACACTGTAGAAAAGTTAAATGACATTAAAGTTGCAACGAATAGTAATTTTATCAGAATAAGACATGAAAGTACATCAGATTCCCTGATGAACAGGCAGGTAGAATTTCTGCCGTAATTGCTTTAGACGATGTGAATTAAGCGAGCAGACAAGGGCGTACCCAGCCCCTATTTCAGAACCCAAATCAAAATTACCTGTGTGAGACAGACGCTGGTACACTCAACATGTCCTTTATTTTCCGCCTTTTTCTCACCTGGCGCTGCTTTGTGGGTTTTGGTCTTTTGGGCTGAAGATTTGCTAATTCCATCAGTTTGGCCATTCTACATTGGGGAAGGGAAAGCAAAAAAATGCATTTCCTTATGTAGAAGCGTAACTGTTCACCACTGTTTCCATCCACCTGAAATTTGCACCTGGCTTTAAAAATCACAAAACAGTTCGCAGAATTCCTGAGCAATCAACTGAGATATACTACACCTGACAAGAGAACAGGTTCTACATCTCCTTGCTCAACGTTCATCTTTGTGTGAAGGAAGTGGGAACTTACTTAATTTATCTTTTAAGGATAAGTTTCATTCTAAGACTTACCAGCTGCCCTCCGAAACAGCCCAACAGGCTGCACACGGGGCAGCGGGACACGCGGATACCGCCCAGGGAACTTCACTGCTCCTGCCTGGACGGCCATCCAAAGGCCTTACAAACACTGAAACTGCTGTGACTCGTATTCTAATTACTAAAGGGAACCCGCAGTGAAGTTTTTTATTTAAAAGTATTTGTAAATAACTGTTGCAAATCATTATAGAACCAAGTAACTTACTTGAGGACAAAGTTTTCAAACAGGGCGATACTCTGAAGCAGGTTGTGAGTAACAATCACCCTGTGACAACCGATACATTGTACACAGTTTACCTCCATTACGAGAACTACTTAGAATAGCCCTTCTCCGGGCATCTTGGATCTTGTTCAGGGCTGGACACTCGTTTCCATGAGTGGAAGCTCCAAAACCACTAGTCGCTACCTCTCCAGGGTCACATGCGTGCAATTTAAAAGCAAAGCAAACATACACAGTAAAATGCAGGGAAGGGGGGACCACGTGGTTTAAACAAGACTGACACCTTCTGTCCTACGCAAGGGAAAACGTAAGCACACGCTGAACACTTAAAGCCCTCACAACCACAGTTAACCAAGACTTTTATGAGGAAATCCAGGTGTACAACACATATGTCTACATTCATAAACTGCTCATCCAAACTACACGAAGTCTCAACAACAGCGCCAGGCTTATACAGGGTAATCAACACGTATTTGCTGAATGACTAAATACCACCCTTTTTCCACATTTCCAGAAGATAACAGGGAGACATGAAACAAGAGGTTGGTTCACACAAAGACCTGGTACTTCTCAGGACTCCGTACACATAATGGTACAAAAACAAGCAGGTTTGGGCCAGTCCACATTTGTATTTCCTGTCATTATTTTTATTAAAAAGTAAACTTAGAGGAGAATAACCCAAATGAGTCTATCGGGAACGATGGGCCTTCCTAAAAGTCTCCACTCGAGACGGATGCTCCCTGCACCCCTATGATGTGATTTCTGCAGCCCCTACACGTCGGTCTGAACTCTCTCCCTAGAAAGAGGACATGCACGTAGCTGCTAATTCAGTGCAAATTGACACGATCATAATAAAACTGCTGATTACTTGTCTATGTCGCCCGGGTCCCTGCGTGGGTTCTGACCCAGGCCATCCACTACTCCTGTACGTGCCTTCTGCGTGGAGTCCCGACATCCCCACCTTCTGCCCCCACCAGGATTCCGGGCCAGGACTGGCAGATTGCAGCCCCTGACCAAACCCAGCTGCCCGTGTCTGTGAACGGGGGGGTGGGGGGGTGCTCTGGGACACGGGTGTGCACGTGCATTTAGGGACAGTCTAGGGCTGCTCTCCCCCGGAGACGGACTCTCTGGCCCTAGAAAATGTTAGCGATTCCTTTCCTAGGCTATGCTGTGGATTAGCAACCTACTGCTCTTCACCAGAATCTTAAATAACACTTGTAGATCATCCAGAACGCTAATTAAAAAGTAATTAATTTGCAGTAGTTTTTAAATAGTTTTTTCAATGAAATTCTACAGAATTGCTCTAGAAAATTTTCTGAGATGAATAAAATCCAGGGGAAAAAGCTGAAACAATATGAACATAGTCTAGTATTCTCATTCTTGCTATTTGACATGCTCCTATTCTATAAAATCTCCACGAACAAAACCTGGTGAACGATGACTCGCCGCCCCTAGGGAAGTTCAGGGTCAGGTTCCTGTGAGCCTCCGCCCCTGACTTCCCAGGGGCTCCCGACCCAGACACACCCTGTGTGGTTCTGTGCAAACACACTTAACACAGACTGCTGATGCGCTGCCACCGACCTCTCAGGCACGGGCACCTCCTGCCTGGACACACTTATCTAACACACACCTGCTCTCCACCGGGGCTGTCGCAGTGTCCTTGATCTTGGAAACATTAGGCAGCACTTCAACACTATGCCGGGAGACCACTTTAAATGGCAACATCACCACACCAAGAGCACAAAGGTGGGGGACACGTGGTACTGGACAGACAATGAAAAGGACCCCTGTTCACAGAACGACAGCTGAGACAGGAAGGCAGAGGGTCACCTGTTCCACCTCACCTTGGAAAGCAGGTGGCAGACGACTCGAACCTGCCACCGTCCTGTGCCTGCCTGTGGCCTCCAAAGACCAGGAAAGCACAGCAACCACTGACTTTGGAGTCACGACTACATTTAGGAAGTGGGTAAATCCACAAATAATGAGGATCGGTTGTGGTTTATAACACTATAGTCACAAATCGGAAAAATCACCCATAATCCAAAAGTTTTCCTTACGTCTCCGTACCTAGTCTCGGACCTTAATCTACCACCACTACACACTCAGGGGCTGGGGCGGGGGAGGCACAAGCTCTAATGTCGAGTTACAAAGGCTTCCAGCACAATTAAGACGAGCAAGAGGACCTCTTTCTGACAGCGTGTGCTTTGCAAACACCCGAAACGAGCCACAGACCTCTGCCGGTCTTCCTCATCGCTGCTCTCGTACTCCGACTCCAGGCTAGACAGCTCCTCGTCCTCATCGGGCAAAGGGGGCTCCTCCGGAGGCCAGGGAGAGGCGGGGGGCAGAGGGGCGTGCAATGGCACGTAGTCTTCATACTGAACAAGGACAACAGAAACGGCCCGTGATGTTTGCGGAGCAGGGCAGCCACTCCATTCGGACGCAGGACGCTCGGCTCTGCACCTCGGGACACTGTTTCACACACCCGGCCCTGCGGTGGCGGACAGCCAGCTGAGGTCCACGCGGTTTCCTCCCCGGGGCCCTGGCCAGGCAAACTCCCCAAACATCCCTGGCAGCTGGAGTGCACCTCGGACCTGAGTGTCAGCGGGGCTGCTGGCCTGCGGACCCTCTGCACATAATCCCCCCACACACAGCTGCAGGCTGCGTGGCGATGACCCCTCCGACCTGGGAACACACGCAGTGGGCCAGCTTAGGGCTTCCCCTATGACTCAGTAGAGCAGGACACCATTCTGCCCTGTTTTGGGAATGGGCTTGACATAAGCAAGAAACAACATTCTGTGCCAAGTGACTGAGACTTGAGTCCACTTGTTCCCGCAGCCGGCCGCATCTTCCCTCCTGCCGCCGCGGTGTGTGGGCACTGCGGTGCTGGGGTGGCAGGGGACGGTCGGAAATCTAAAGGCGCACGGTTAGAGAAGCAGCCGACCACGGCACTCAGCAGAAAGGCACGCTTTCCACTGAGAGCTGAGGGTCAGCTCTCAGACCCCTCCTCATGGGTACTGCCTAAACTAAAGAAGCCCTACAGCAAACAACCAGAGTTCCTCCAGAGCAGACAAAGCCCATGACCTAAGTCACTGGTAAGTCTGCAGCACAGTCAAGTCCAATAAACATCAGCAACCTCCTTCTGCAAGTGGAGCTCTGCAGGCGACGAAAGAGGAGCAGCGGGAAGTTAGAGCGTCACCTGTCTCCCATGTGACTGTGTCACAGGCGGCGCCGTGTCTGGGTTAGAGGGCCACAAGGCGCCGGTGGGGACACAGCCTCTGCTCCAGGTCCCGCCCTCCCTCCCGGGTCTCCACTCCACTATTTTACTATCACGGTAACTTCATACGTGCGCCTTATTTTCAGGGCACATTACCAGTCACCGGAACAGCACGTGTAAGATTCAGCCTCCAGAATCCCACCTGGGGCGGAGACATGTGGAGCCTTGAAAACTCTGAGACCTTTCTTACCATGGGAGGTCTCGCAGTGATGGGTCCGAAAGGTGTGGGCAGATTCATTTTATTCATAAGATGAAGCACCTTAAAGTGATGAAACATTTAAAATCACTTAGAAAAATAATGATTCGCCTCACAAAACCATGCACTTAAAAATGCCCCCATCACACTGCCGATCACTTTGGCCCAGCGGCCGGCAGACCGAGCCCGTCACTGCCCAGGCTGGGCTGGGGCAAGGCCCCGGGGCCTCTCGGGAGACTGGCATTCCCAAAATGTTCGTCACCTCTGCAGGTGTCCCCCTCCTTATTAAAATGCAAAGTCTCTTGAAATGTTATTTTCCCCTTGGTTACTGTGAATGAGTGAGCAGAGAGAAGTGAAATAAGAAAATAAACATTATCTATGTGTGTGTGCTGTTCTTCAGAGTTTCCCATTACAGCCAACACTTTCCTGCACCTGCCAAGGGCCCCACTACGCCTGTTCCTTTCAGAAAGAATCTCTACGTAAAGGTGTGCACTGAAGTACAAAGAATTACCCGAAATTATGTTTCCTGACCTGCCTTATGTTCATTAGTATCAATGCTGAACATAATGGTTTGCTTGTGCTGTAGTAATGAAAAGATAGATGGAATGTTTGCGACCCGCCCCCAAATTCATACAGTAAATCCTGACCCCAACGCGCTGGTCAGGAGACAGGGGTACCTGGGAAGTAATTGGGTCACGTGGCTGAGCCCAGGAGCGGGATTAGTGTCCGTTATGAAAGGGGGCCCTGAGGGCCCTGTCACCCCCTTCTGGCCAAGTGAGGACACAAAGAGAAGCGGCCGTCTGCAGCCAAAGAGGCCCTGCCCCCAGCCACGCTGGCCCCCGGGCCTCGAACATCCAGACTCCGGCCCTGTAAGAAAGAACGGCCTCGGTCTGCAAGCCACCCGGTCTCCAGCCCTGGGTTACAGGGGCCTGGACTGACTGAGACCCCTTCAAAATACCGTACTATCACCGCCTGTCCGAATTAGTCTAATTAACACAGTAAGAAAAAGTAGGAGAATCGGCATGAAAAGCGGCGTACCAAGGCACACAAGCATTTACTGGGTGAAGTCAGTTCTGCTCCGCCTACCTGTACATAGAACTTGGGCACGCTTGCCAAGGCGTTGACTATGTTCGCCAGGATGGTGCTCGATGGCGGTGGGTACATATACTTGAGGCATGAATTCAGGGGAAACGTCAGCCTAAAAAATATTTAACATGAGAACGTTTTACCAAGTTTTATATCCACAACTTGTTTTAGGTCATCTGACAGCATATAAAATTGCCTGAATGATTCAGTTCTCTAGATCTGCTTTGTGTGTAATAGATCCAAATAAGAACATTTAAAAAGAAACTTGCCTTCTGACTCCATTAAAGAAAAATAAGGTAGTTCTTATCAGGCCTTATCTTATAGCTCTGAATATTTTCAGGGAAGCAAATTCAGTGACAAATTCTTATAGCTCTAAATATTTAATCAACAAATTAATAATATAAACAAAATACCCCTTTATAATTGTATTATTTGTGATACACACACATAAACCCGCCAGTGCAACCAACCTGAAGAACAAAATATAAACAGAGGCTCACCCGTGGCTCGGTGCAATTCCATTTTCTACAGTTAAACAACCAACTTCCTTCTTTTCTTTTTCTTCCTCCTCAGGGTCATCAGACCTAGAACACAGCCAAGTCCAAGTTCATCTTACCTTTAGAAACAGGGTGAAAAACTGGGTTCAAGAAAACATGCCCTTTTCACACAAGGCCTTAGGAGAACAGCGCCACAACAAATAAAACGTCAAGCCTCTCTCAGGCCCACGCCAATGACAGACAAGGACCAGAGAACCGACCTCTGCCGAGCGCCTCCCCCGTTGCAGACCTGTACTAGGCGGGCCGCATTTCCATGTACTCTTCCTGCCACCCGGTGAAGGTGGTACAAGGACTGCAGACCCTGAGAACTCCTGAGGGTCTCAGCAACTGCACTTGAAAGGCTTTACGTGCACCAAAACCACCTAAAGCGCTGGTTAAAACTTAGGTTTCTGCGGCCCTGCCCACTCCCTACCCCCGCCCCCAATGTCTAATTCTGCAGGACTGGGTTAGGGCCCAAGAATCTGTATCCCAGTCAAGAGCCAGGGACTTGGGTCTTAGATGCAGCTGGTCCAGGGCCTAGTCTTTTCGAACTGTGGGTGTAAAGCAAATCTGTGAAGGTTCTGTCACTACCGGGAGTTACAGCTGGGAACCAACTTCCAGGCTTTGATTTCAAAGGCCAGGCCTACTGGTGACCCTCACTCTCCGTGACACAGCAAAGGCTTCGTCCTGGTGGCCTTCCCCCCACTTCAAGTTCAGTGCTTTTAACCCCATTCTCTTCCCACCTCACATTTGCAGTTAGAAACAAAAACAAATACACTGCCTTAAAGTACTAGATTCAATTAGAGAGAGATCTGTCACTTATTGTTTCAAATTAGTTACTTACTAGTCTGAAGACAATGCAATAGCAACACAACTGATTAAAAAACACTGAAATGTTAGGAAAGCCTAGCATCTACTTACCTTTTCTTTTTTTCAGTGCCTGCAGAGGGACATGGGGAATGAACTTGATCTTGCTCTTTTGCAAATTCAACAACTAAAGTATGACCTAAAAGTTTCAGCTGGTGGAGTCTCGTCAGTGCCTTTGGTTGGAAAAAGAGAGTGAAAAATTTGGTCACTGCACCAGAAAGTATTTGCTAGAGGCCATCCGCATTACACACGTTCATTGTCAATGCTGTCACGGCTTCCTGGGCTACTTCTCACCCTTTCCAAACCTCAGGCTGCCATGCCAGGCTTACTGCTCAACAGGAACTGCTTCCTACCACTTAGCGAAACTAAAATCGGGTTCAGTGCAATGCAGCTGTCAGTTCCTGGCAGCTGAAGATGGTTAGAAAAACAAGCACAATGAATTTGCTCAGTCTCACTCTAAGCTCACGACCAGAACCACAAATCTGGGGGGGACCAGAACGAGGCCACACAATTTCATGTTATACGAGTATTCTTAGTTCATTTTTTCTACCGATCTCTCTGCATTCCTCAGCCTTGCCACACTCCTGCCCCGCTCTTTGGGCCTAGGACCTTGCTTCCTGCTTTGAGAAAACTCAAGCGAGTGCTGAGAACTTCTGATTCTCACCCTAACCCCCACATACCGGCATTTGCATCCACACATTCTACCTTCCAGCTGTTACCACGATATTAACTATCCATGCTCTTTTTCTTTACCCAATGGCTTGACTTGGATGCTAAATCCCACCCTCTCTCACCACTCAGGAGTCCCTCCTCTACTCCCCAGGACTGCTCGGGGCTATTCTTACCTCCACTGCTACCCCTCTGTTCTCCAGGGGGTCATCCCTGTGAGTGTACAACACACCCCAGTTTCCCCCATCCCACTCTTTTCTTCAGCCGGTGACCCTGTTTATTTACCACGGCTCCCCCTGCAGCGTCACTGAGCCCTCTATGGAACACCCCTCTCCTCCCACCCAGCCGCACACTCATCCGCCCCGGCTCAGGCCTTAACCCGTCAGTGCACCGGCACTGCTTGTCTGACAACGAGTTCTGCACAGCCAAGCTGGCGGGCCACGGTCAGCGCTCGGGCCACGGTCAGCGCTTATTCCTCTGCATCTAACACAGTTCTCTCCCCTCCTCATACGCACTTCCACTTGCTGTGTCAACACCGTACTTTCCTACCGTTTTCTTCCTAGTTCTCTGTCACTGGTTTTGTTAGGCCCGGAATTAGATAAAAGTAGCCAAGAGGAACCCGAGGCAGGCTCCAGACTAGGAGCAAGGCTCCAGACTGTCTCAGCAAGGAAGATAGAAAGTACAAAGAGTGCTGGACAAGATAAACCACCTTGTGCATGACCTTGTCTTTGCAGGAAAGTATCCATTGTTGCAAGCAGAGAACATAGCCATGTGTGTTCTCTCGGGATAGCCAATTGCTAACAGCTACGTCTGCTTCTGTATTTGCTTGCTTGCTTGCTCACCCCAATAAAAAACTCTAGGCTGTAAGCACCAGGCGCGACTCTCATTTGCAGCCATTTTGGCACCGTGTCTCCGGACACCCCGAGAGTTCGCCCCTGCGCAGGTAAAACTTTGACCAATAAAGTTCCATCTTAAACTCCTGAAAGCTTCCAACCATTTGTTGCTCGCATTGGTGGATGCTACAGTTTCTACTCAATTTCTCGGGCTTGTGCCTTCTCGAATTCTTAATATGGGCTCACTCAGGAACTCTGTTACTGGTCGTCTACCTAAGTTCTCCGTGACCTAAACCGGCACCTTAAATTTAAACACCATCTCCACAGTGATGACCCCATGTGTAACTGCAGCCCAAACCTCTGTCCCGAAGTCCAGGAACCTACATCCGAACTGCTGGACAGCTCCCCTTGAGCTACCACCTGGCAGACACCTGAGAATCAAAACCTCCGAAACAGAACCAGTCACCTTCTCCTCCACCCACAAAGGTTCTCCACCCGCACCCTTCCCCCACTCAGTCTCTGGAACTCCCTTCTTCCACACTCATGCCTAAAATTTGGAGTCACCTTTAACACCTCTGCACGTTGCATAATCAAAAAAGCATGGAGAAATCCTGCCTGCCTCTGCGTTCATCATATATCCCGAATCTAACCGCCTCTCCCCCTCTCCGCTGCTACAACCACCCGACCTCGGGGCTGAATGAACCCTGTGAACTGATCCACGATAACCCTGTAACAGAGTTCCCTGCCTCTTCACATCCAGTCTCAGCGCCGCAGCCAAAGTGGTCCCTTTTAATACCTAAGTCACACTGTGCTACTGCTTCACCCTAAACATCCCTGTGACTCCCTGCTTTACTCGACTGTACCTACGTACAGGACACCCATTTCCTCTCTGGCCTCCGACCCGGTGACCTCCCTCATTCTGTCTGCTTCAGCTGCACGGTCCTAACTGTCCCGCTGCCCAGAACGCACTTCCCCAGACACGCCTGGGCCAACTTCCTTCACCACCATCACCCTGCTGCCTGAACACGACCCTAATGGCATCCAGTGCGACTCAGCCCCCACCAGCGCTCCGGTCCTCCTGCTTTCCTCATCTTTTCACAGCGTTTATCACGTTCTCACACAATCTATGGTCCATCGTCCCTTTGAGAATGGGATCCCCAATGAGGGCGTAAAACTGCTGTTCACGGGGTACCCCCGGACCCAACGCAGCATCCAGCACACAGCTGGCACTTAATATACTTTGGACAAATGAGACTGTGGGCCTCACCTGGGACTACAGTTCTGTTCTACCACCTTTGTGCATCCTTATTTGACTCCTTCATTATATACAAAACCAGTTTCAAAATGTTTCAATGATTTTCAAGGCCCTAAATCAATGTCTTCAGTCAGTTAACCGTTCATCGCCTGAACCCCAGGTACATAAGCTAAATGCTTCACCTCTCCTCCTCTCAGACGAACGTCACCCACACTCTTCTTTTCTGGGACTTCAGATTTTCATTCTTCAGGTTAACTCATTCCCTGTCTCTTTCAGCTACTTACCTCTTCTTAAACATCTCCCTCCCCTCTTTAATAATCAGTCAAGTACACTGTAGCCTAAAGGCCCCCCACTTCTCACTTCTTCTCTTTGGAGAAACAGCTCCCCGAGACTCTGCCTGGCTCCATGTCCTCTCCTCCAAGTGAATTGTGAGCCTCACATAATGTGGCTTTTATCACCGGATTTCACTTACAATCTTTATGCTCTGTAAAAAACATGTTTCTGAAAAATATTCTTCTATGTTAAAAAATACACATGTGAAAGTCTTCTGCAATCCCACCCTCAGATAAAGCTGTTAACAACCTGGTACACGGTTCTGCTACACTTTTTCTATGTGTAAACCTGCAGGGAGGTGGGGCAAAGCTAGGTTAGCCCACCTCCTTTGCCGGCTAGTCTTCCGGGCAACCATGTCCCTTCGTCTGGTTGAAGAAACTCCATTTCTGACCCTGCCTCAGCTCTAGAGCCATATTTTTACCTGTTTTAAAAATATCTCCACGGAAGTAGCCCACTGACTCCTCAAAGTTAACATATGAATTCACTATCTACCTTTACAAACACCTTCTGAACCCCGCCCCTTCTGTCGTCAGACGTAATAACCCAGTAACTCAGTTCAAACGCCTCAAAGCTGTCCCTGTCCTTCAGCCTCTGCGTCTGCAGGGATCACAAGACCTACAAGCTCAGCCTCTGCCAAGTTCGCCCTGCTTCTTCATCTTCTCCCCAGCTCACACAGACCCTTCCTCTTGCCTGGGCCACTGCTTCTCTCATCTCCACTTCCCACCTGCTGTTTCTGCCTCCGAACGTGTTCCACCTCCAACTGTCAGTCACAGGAAGCTACCAGAGCTCTCCCGCAGGCCTGACCACATGATTGGCCGAGCCAAAGTATCAAGTGCCTTTGGAATGGCTAGAAACAAAATTCGATCTCTCCTTCCCAATTTAGAGTGAACCTCCCTGGCAAGCCCTGTGTCCATTTCAGCCCGAGGCTATTGCCTCACTTACAACTTTCCCGGCGCCACGTCTCCAACCTGGAAGGCCGGCTCCCTTTGCTTCCTTCTCAAAATCCAACTGACTGTTCAAGGCCTCCATAAACTGTCACTTCCACCACCAGCAATTCCCCAAAACTTAATACAAAAAGACACACACACCACGCTCCCTTTGATACTTAACACATCTTGCCTTGCAACAGTGACAAAGTTATGGATCTTTGTATCCTTTAGAATTTATTCTTAAATACATGAGATTACAATTCAATTTTCATTTTATTTCCTATTAATCTACTATTCTTCTGTCTACATACTTCAAGCTTTGGGTTAAGATCTGCCAAATGACAAACCAAATGTAGCCTGTGGGGCATAACCTTTTGTTTTTAAATACTATAGTTTAACATGATGTTTTATTTTTGAACCATGATTAAATAAATAATCGTTGATAACTTTAATAGTACAGAAAAAGTCATACCTTGATGGCTGTTTTTTCACTAGGAAAAGTAGCAAAAGCCGTATGTTTCTGAAAAAGAATTAAGGTACAAATTATTTCCAATATAATTTCAGTTTTTCATAAACTGATATTTTACCACTTAACAGTGTTCAACACATTCATGTAATGTTGAAAAAGGATGAAAAATCTGGATGATTTTAACTAATCACTACTAATTTCATTACAGTGGTTTTGAATCTTTTTTGCATCGGACTTCTTCAAGACAATAGCTATGTAGCCTTTTTCACAGAAAGGTACATGCACACGCAGCATATTGTATACAATCTTTCACCACAATTTTAAAAACTGCCCCTATGTTCCAGCTGGGGAGCCTCCTTGGTTAGAGCATCATCCTGATAGGTCAAGGTTGTGGGTTTGATCGCCAGTCAGGGCACATACAAGAAACAGCCAGTGAATGCATATATAAGTGGAACAACAAATCAATGTCTCTCGCTCTTCCTTTCTCCCTTCCTCTCTCTCTCCAAAGTCAATGAAAATAAAAATTAAAAAACCCTGCTACTAGACACAACAGACCACCCTTAACCATGCAAAAATATAAAATATCTCCCATTTTGTAACACATCTAAAGATCTTAAACCTTCCTCTATAGAGCCAAATGCAGAGTTTAAAATGTTCAACCGAAAAACATTCCTTGAGAGCCTCTGTCCTTTGGGCTTTATCTTTGTAACTAGGGTTCAATGGGAGAAACCTATTTTTAAGTATAAATTGTAAGTTGTCTAAAGCCATCAGAAAAGGAACATAAGTCCAAAGTAAATGAATCATTATGCTAAGGAGAAGTTCTTGTCTGTACTCACTAAAGTATTTAAAGTTGCTTGAAAATAGAGACAGATTTAGAGAGAGCAGGATGACAGCTAACGAGAGTAGGAAAGGTGGGAGCGAAGGGATAGAGGAAAAAGGACTCAGGGACACAGACAGCGCTGTGGTAATGGCAAGGTGGAAGAAGTATAAGGGTGCTAAATGGTATGCAAAAAATACAATAAAAATTTAAAAAAATAAAATTGCTTGAGTAATTATATCAAAATTATACTTTTGCCTAATTTGATCCAAGATGACCTAATTAAGCAGACTTAAACAGAATCACGTAGAATATTTATATTTGCTGGAAATAATGTCATTTGTTCAAAGCCCTTCCCTTATAAGGACTTTCCTTGTATCACTCAGCCTATGCAAAACTGCATTCCTTATATGCCATTGTGCGTACAGGTGCAGAACCTATCAAAGACACCGAGGACTTGGCACTTGGTATTTTTTCAGTAAGTCTCTATCCTGACTGCCTGTTGGAATCACTGGGGAGACTTTCGAACCATTAATGTTTTGCCCCACGAAAAACCACCTTACAGAAACTTAACAGGGCCTTTATTCTTGCAATGCAGACAGATCCATCTAAAGGTATAAAGGAAATCTTCAGGTATAAAGGAAGTGAAATAGAAACACTGTAACTAGTTTACTCAAAGTTACTATCATAGTTTGATATGCTCTGCGTGAATGCCGAGCATATCATGTTAACATGGGCTTGTAAATGAAGAAAGATTTTTCACAAGTCCTTTGTTCCATATTTCTGAGAATACGGAGACTAAGAGGAACCCCCTCCCCCACACACAGCCCAATAGGAGTAGTTTAGAGATTCCCGAGCCGGGTCGGAGAAGGGGGCGACACTAAGGCACACTCCGCTCTCGCGCCCGGCCTTTCCCGACTTCCGTCGCTGAGCTGTCAGTAACCTGGGCGCCAGGCAGCATCCACTTCCCTCCGCACGCCAGCGCCGCGAGTAGGAAGGACGGGCGCCCCCACCGCGCGAGCGCTCCTCCCCGTCTCAGCAGTCCCGCGCCCCGCGGGCGGCTGGGGACGGGCGCCCTTACCAGTCGCCCCTTGTCGGACAGGACGCGCACGGACTGCGCCCCGAAATACTTGAGCAAGTCCTCTTTCTCCTCCGTGGTCAGCTCCGCTGGCAGGTGCCTCACTAGAAGGGTTCGGTCGCCCCGCGGCGGAGAGAGCGAAGCCGAGCCCTGGCATCCTCTGGACATCGGCAGCGGCTGCTCGGGGGTCGCCATCTGCCTAGGAGACGGGGCGACAGGGGCGCCGAGCCCAGAAGCTGCGGAGAAACACAGACTGTGATAAAAGAATATATTTCCGCTTCGCGCTAAGGATTCTGGTGACACGGAAGTACCGCGAGGCACGGGCGCCTTCTCGCGAGACTTGCACCCAAGAAGAGTGACACCTCTTGGGAGGCCGGCTCCTGGGACTGGAGGAGGGATTGGAAAGTAACGTGGTTAAAATTCCAGGCCGATGCTGAAGGTAGTAGAAGGAAAAGTTTGCCCGAGAGAGGTGTGAGGATTTTACACGTTTCAAACGCTGTCAAAGAAGGAACGGAGATGTGGGATCGCAAGCGCCGGAGGGTGAGAGCCGGACAGATGGAGTCGCTGCTGCGCATGTGCGAGCGGGTGCGGTCCGGGCGGGCCGCCGGCGCCCTCGGCCGCCCCCTATGGGTTCCTACCGGGCCCGGTTCCCCAAACCCTTCTGCCCCCTGGGAGGAGGGCGGGGTGCAGTGTCGGGTTATGGGGCGTGGCCTTACTGTGGGGGTGGTAACGCTACAGGTAGCAGGTTCTTCCTTCAACTCAGCAGGGTCCACGTGGACCAGGGAACTCAGTTTAAGGAACAAAGCGTCGAAACAGACACGTATTTTGTGTTCTGGAATCTTCAGGCACGTAGCAGCCTGGGAGGCAGGCAGGCCAGTGTTCATTTCACAGAATCGGTGGCCTCTTGGGAGAGAGACCCTAATGTGTATGTACATAAAATTACACAAACACATACACACCCTCCTTAACACGCGTAGCCGCATAACAACCCTAAGTACTCCTTTCCAGTGTACCATGTAAGTCACACAGCCTGTAGATGGCAGAGCTGGGATTTGATCCTGCTCACGTGTCAGCTTTACATTCTGAGCCACAGCTCTGTCTAGGTTCTGGACGCAGTGAAACAGATCAGCCCAACAACAGGCGGAAGGGTCTCCCTCGTTGTGCACCGGAAAAAGCCTCCAAGGTCCCTACAGAGGAGTGTCATTCTCGGCGAAGCTGCTGCAGTCGTCTCGCAGCCTGCTCTGCCAGCCACGCACCACTAGACGGGGGAAATGCATCCTCAGAGATGCGTCCTCAGTGTGAACAGCATAGAGGGCTCTCACACACACCTACACGACACTGCCTGGTGCACACTTAGCCCACGTGGTATTACCCACTGCTCCCAGGCTAGAAGCCTGCACACCATGTTACTGTACAAAACGACCCGAGGTTAACTCAGGAAGAAGAAAAATGTTGCAATCAAGAGACATGGTGAGCGCAAGATGTATGAGGCATAACAGCACATGCTGTTTTACAGCAAACTTTATGATAAGCAGATAGAGTACACTCTAACATAATAAAAAGTAGGGTAAATACATAAACCAGTGTCAGAGTCATTTATTATCCTTGTCGAGGACTATACATAATTGTATGTGTTATGCTTTTATCCAACTGATTGCACAGTAGATGCATTTACAGCAGCATCACCCCAGACACCTGAATAATGCATTGCACTAGGGCATTGTGATGGCTAAAACATAACTATACGATAAAAATTTCTCAGCTCCATTATAATATCATGGCTCCACTGTCGTATATGTGATCTGCCATTGATAGAAATATTATGCAATGCATGACTGTACTTTCCACTTAATTCGATGTTAAAGGTATAGCAATAAATCAAAGTTCTGCTTTCAGGAAGCATTTGTTGGGGATCCCGGAGAGAAAGGCATTAATAAAAAAGGGAAAAAACATGGGGACAAACCACAAAATGTCATGTGTGTAGAGCCAGACCATGAGAGTCCTGCAGGTTCATTTGGAGTCTTGGTTATCTGAAGAGCAATTGGAAACTGACAGACTTTTTTTAGTAGAGTTATATGTGTATGTATGTGTGTACCATGACTAAATTTTAGGTACGTACGAAAATCGGTCTTTGGTGGCAGGGTGAAAAATAGAGCAGAGGCAGGAAGAACACAGGAGCCCAGCAAGAGACACTGCTCAAATAGTTTGGGCACAGTAGACATGGAGAGAAAGAACGAGAATTGAGGTATATTTGGGAAATAGAATCGATAGGCTTACAGGCGAGTGATTGATAGGCTTGAAGACCAGTGATTCAGGATAAATTCCAGGTTTTTGATTTGTGCCCCAAACTGTCCACCGTCCTGGTGGATTGTGATGGCAGTTACTCAACATAAGAAGAGTGACTAGAGTGTAACTAGGTTAGGGATGTGGGGGGAGGGTGGGGGAGGGAGGGACACATTTTAAATTGCAAGTACCTATTCAGTATCCATAGTTCAAGTAGGCAGTTGAATATATAAGCCCGGCATAGCAGAGAAATGTCAACACTATACACATATGTAGCATCCATACATAAAATGTATACCGTATAGCCAAGGGTTGGGAGATACTGTTGGTGGAGAAGGGCACCCTGTATTGATCCGCGTGGGCCATGCCAACATTGAAAATTGAGGAGAAGAGGAAGAACAAGTTGATGAACCCTTTCCCTCTTGACTCTTCATTCTAGTAGTAAAAACAGACCAAAACATGTAAATAGTAAAGTCTTCCCTTTTGTAAAGTGCTTTGGTTAAAAATAATAATAATAATAATAATAATAATAAAGTAGAGACAGGGTAGAGGGACCTCATTTCTAGTTCCCTGAGCTCCTCTGCCCTCCTCCTGGTCCCTTCCCAAGACTAGAATGCTCCTGCACAGCCTTCTCAAGTTCAACTTCACTGTCTCAGTCAAAGCTAGTGTGGTAAAATTGTGTTTTAATAATCATTTATCAGGGTAATGTTGGTGACGTAACATTACGTAAGTCTCAGGTGTACGATGTTATCACACATCATCTGCCAGTCCTGCTGTGCGCTCACCACTCAGGGGTCCAATGTCCTTTGGTCAGTGCTTTGCTTAAGTCAAAACCCTAATGCTACTGATTTCCTTGACCTCTGACTAAATACATTCGTATTTTTGAAAAGAGACAGAATACTTATAACTGCACACGTTTACTATTTTAAGCATGTTTAAATCGATACTTTAATTCAATAGCTGTATTCTGTGGTTTCTTAAAGATCTTCCTTGGGTCTTTTTCTCTTTTCATTTCATAAGGTATAATAAATTGTTTAAAAATAATAAAAGGCAATCAAATATTCCTGTTAAAAGCCATAGTGGTATAAAACTATAAGCAAACAAACAAGCTGCTTCTGTTCATTGACGTCAGTGGCAAAGCACTGAGAGAGAACACTGTCCTGTAAAATCATAGACTGGGAAGCTTTGCTTTCTGGACTCCTGTTCGTGGGATGGGACCGGCCCATATGCCCGGGGGGCGGAGCCACGCCGCCACTTTGACAGAGGGAAGCAGCTGTGCCCTGCCCAGCTGTGAGGATTCAGAGAATGGTTTCAGACGCCAGGTTCCCCATTTGTCCTAACTTTGTAGTTTGCAAGGGAATGGAACCGTGAGCCCACTTCTCAGTCCAGCCGTGTTTTCTTTCACCCTATCAAACACTCTTCATTTAAACTCCACCTTGCCCCCAGACCAGTAAGAACCCGGGCTCTAACTTTGGGTGAAAAACCCCACCATTCTGCAGCCATGGAAGCTCTGACGGTAGCAAATTAATAAGCCTAATTCAGTCAGACTGCGCAAGGGCACTGTTCGGCAGTCTTTGCGCAGGTTTATTCATCATTTTTGATTAATGCTTTCTGTGCCCCGCATTCTCAAGGACGTTTGAAAAGACCCATCAACCAGCTTGACAGGCAGAAAGCAGCCTGGCCCCGAGTGCTGTGAAGACCCCCGGAAGCTGGGTGAGAAAGAGGAGAGAAGGGAAAAGTAATGGTTAGTTTTAGCTCCGGAATCCCCTGAATCTCCCACTGTTTGGCTCTAATCCATAGTCTCTCTACCCTTCCACTAGCCTTATGTGTCGGCGAAGTTGAACTGTTTCCTCTTTTTTGCAGACACTCCCATGTTCTTGCTCCTGTACACTTAGATTTGCTGTCTGTGTCTCCCTAAATCACCGGTGGCAAATAATGAGGCCCACGGGCCAAATCCTGCCTTCCACGTTGTTTTATGCTTCCCTGTTTGAAACGTTCGTCGGTTGCCCAAGGCGCTTGGGATAAAAATCTGAAGGCCTATCCTGTCCTCTAGCACCTTTCCGGGTACTTCTGAGACCTCGTGGTCTGCTATTCTGATTCTTGCCCACTCCCAGCAGTGGGTGGTTCTTGCTGCCCCGGGGGTGGGGGTGGGGTGGGGGTGGGGAGGGGGTGGGGTGGAGGCCGAAAAGAAAACCAGGGTCCCTCCTCCTCCCCTCCAGGTTGCTGGGGCCCAGTGCACCTCCTCGCCCCGCCTTCCCCGCTCACTAGTCCTGCCTGACTCATCCCTTGGCCTGGAACAGCCCAGAGGTGACACCGACGCTAAGGTGTGCCTGTGAGTTTGCGGGCACGCGTGCGTTCGTGAGATAAGCCCCACGAGGTGAGAGCGCTCCTCGGGTCTGTCTGGTGAGCTTCTGTGTCCAGGCCAACCACGCCAGGCGCATTTGGGGATGTCGGTAAATACTTGCGGAGCGAGTGAATGTCGTCCAATCTCACGTTTGTCGTGTTTGCCTACACCAAACCTTCTGACCTGCAAAATGAAGAGACAGCCTCCCTCATAGGCTCCTTACGAGTATTAAGTGAGTTAACCTGGCCCGGAGTTGTTCTATTTGTTATTTTTACATTTAATTGGTGATTATTCGAGTAATGTCCGTCTTCGTCTTCCCCACTAGGTTTTTAGGAACCGTGTTACTTTTTCCCACCCTTGCATCGTGAAGAGCAATGAGAACGCTGTGAACTGAGGCCTGTACCTGTGCCCTGAACGCGGTCCCACGTCCTGCAGTTATCAATGTCGGCCACCAGGTGGCAGTCGCGTTCTAGGCAAGGCAAGTGTTGCTGGCCTTAAGCTCTCCAGAACTGAAGATGGGGGAAATATATTACACAATATAATAATGTTATATATTACATAATACACGTATAATATATTATTATTAGGTTATATAAATATGTTTAGGCTGGTAGAATGCTAAGAATATGACAGCTCAATCAGCCCAAATTCTATTCTGTTCCATTCCACTGTGTGTTCTACCCTGCTAAGGAGCTCATCTTTCATTTTATTTTATTATTTAAATTTTAAAAAATTGTAATTAGCCACCCACAGACAGTGAATGAACACAGGTGGGCTGCTGTGAGTCTGTCACCTGCATATCCTGACCTGGTCCCCAACTGTCCCCCGACCCACAGCAAGGGCAGGCCTGAGGCCTGGACTCGCTCACCTTCTGTGTATTCCCATCCTCGACATTTCCTCAGTGGGGATCAAGTCTTGGAAACATTAACACCGAAACCGGCAAGAGGCATACAACTGGATACGCTCAGGTTTCAGCCCTTTCATTTCTAGAAATTCCTCATTTAGCTGGTCCTTGTTTATTCAAGGACCAGCTGCTGCAACTGCCCCTTCGCCCCCTGGGAACATCTGTGCAAACGGGGACAGCTAAAGAGAGTCACACAAACCCGTATTTGCTGAGCTCTTAAGGTCCCTCGAGCATCCAAACTGAAACCAAACTCCAACCAGCTGCCTGGGGATGTGTGGCTTCAGGATTCCAGAGCCTGAGGTGCCCTGTGGTCCTGAGGGCACAGACTGCGAGTCAGAGCCTGCTGAAAAAATGTTTGCGGGCTCCCAGCCTGGCCCAGAAGCCTCAGGAGGGCAGCAACCGCTTGGCTCCACTGTCTCCCCCAGGTACCGGGTGCAGGACCCAGTGAGGCAGCTGCCAGGCCGAGCAGAGGGCCCAGAGCAGACAGGGCACTACGGGGGTGTCAGCCGCTCATCTTTTACACAGGGTGCATTTTAGCATTTCTGTCACCCCACTAAACACCTGGATACGCTATTTGTCATTTTCTGTGGATAAATGAAAACAATGTTTAGAGAGGTCTCTTCTAGTATTTACTACTAACAGGAGTTTTCCTAACTTTCAACCTCAAATCCTTTACCTGGCGCTTCCAAAATGGTTGGGGACCACTTTGTATGATATTGGGAACTGTAACCTTTGCACAAGCTGGGCCTTGCATAAGGGCCTGTAAGTTCTTGACCAGACGCTGGGGATGCTGGGAGGCAGGCGTGCCCCGATGTTAGCACCTCGGGTTCCCTGGGGAAATCTGGCCTAGAGAATGCATCTTGTTTACTGAAGCTTGCTCCGCTGCAGCCCTGATAAGGAAGAAGCAGCTGTTTGACTTCCAGGCAGGGAAGAAGACTCCTGAGCCCTGCCTTAAGGACCATCTGGCCTGTCTCACTGACCCTGACCTGGGGCAGATCTCTGGGTTTCCTCCACTGTTATCCGTAGATAACATCTGTTTTCTATAGGTTGGCCTTTGGACAGTGATCCAAGAGCTTTGCCCCCTGTGGCACAGCCCTGCACAGATCTTCCCAATAAAAGCCCCCGGAGAAAGGGCCTCGGGCTCTTCTGCTCTGAGAAGTTAGCCAGCCTTCTCTCCCCAAAGCAGGTCTGGTCTTGGGGGTCTCATTCCAACCGCAGCTCCGGGGGACAGGGTCCCCCTCACAAAACCTATTATGATTTTGGCTGGAACACGTTACTCTCTATCTTATACCCTCTATTTTCCTTCTTGAACAAGAACTTTGTCTTGTTTTCTGATTACAGGGGGTGCTCTTGGATGGAAAGCACCTGTCCTTTCCGTTCTCTCCCAACACGCATGTACCGTCTGGGGAAAAGAAGATGTAGGTTGCTTGCTGTCCTGCTGGTCTGGCTTTGCCTTTTTGAGCAAAATTACCTACAGGCGCCTGGCACAAAAGGAAGAAATGAAAGTGTTGAAGAGTCTACAAATTAGATAACCTCTATGTGATCACATTTTTTTGGATTTTGAAATTTTATTTTGTAAATATCGATTAAAATTGATTAAATGTGTGTCTATGCTTTGATAAATTCACCAAAATATATTCAAAATGTGGACATGTAAAAGTGAATAATAATTTTTAAGACAGTGGTAGTTTTTATTATAATAATTTTTAGAAAGTATAATAATTATTTTCTTATTTTTTGAAAAAACTATTAAAAATGTAGTTTTAAAAAAACAGTGGTGCATTTCTTTGTATTCTTTTTCCCTTTGTGCCTTGAAGTAATATATTATTAGCTAAAAGAAAGAAACTCGGTTAATTGTTTTCATCCTTGAAGAAAGCTTTTTTCCCCTCCCTATTCTTTGCTTAGTAAGAAAGGTAATCGTGTATTACTTACACTGCCTATATTTTACGCATGTATTTATAAAAATTGAGTATTATCATTCATATGACTTTGTAATTTTTAATGCATTACAAACATATTTTGTGTGATTATGCTCTTCATATCATATTTTGTGGAATCCCAATGCATAAATTTAATTCCTTTACTATTCTTATTTATGATATCTTAAAATACAGTACTTGATACAAGAGAATATATGTAACACAGATATGAGGGAGCCTAATGATAATAAAAAGAACGCACATGAACCCACCACCCCACTTCTAAACCAAAGCCTGGCTTCGCAGTGATCCATTGACATTGGTAAGTCTCCCACCATCAAAGCCACGAGAGGAAGTTCCAGCTGAATGATCCAGGTTGGTCTCCTGCACTCCGAGAGACGCTCCATCTGTCTGAGGTCAAGTTTTTCCTTCTTGCCTTTGTTGGGTGTCTCGTCTTGATCTGTCCCTTAGGAGTTACTGTTTGAATTAGAAGACACACAGATGCCATATCTCTTCCAAATAAGTAGTGTGCAGAGACAACGTCTGCATCCAAATTTAGCGAAGGTCCGTTTTCCTAAAGGACACAATCGACATTAAAACACCCAACTCTTCATCTTTCTCAGCTTTTCATTCCAGAAGAGGGTCTCTGCTTTACCTTCTTACAATTGAAAGGCATGTTCAAGTAATATTTTCTCCACTTCTAGCCAAAAGGAAAGGCTAGCTTAAAGGTTTCTTTTGCTTCTATCTCTGAAGTTTCTAAAAGCTTTGAACTATTCTTGGATATTTTCAGCCAGATTACAGTTTATTAAGTCAGAGAAAATAGCTATTCCATAAGATCTCTGATTAGTTCTGTGATAGTGAGAAATTATGTCTCTGAACTCAACTGTGAAATAATTATAATAAGCTCAAGAACTTCTGGGAGGATTTAATGAAATAATGTAATAATGTATACAAAGAGCTTGCGGGAGCTCAAGGAATGCTGGCTACAACTATCATAATGAATGATCAACTTTGCCATAGTTAAATAATGTTTGGTTATTACTGTGTTGTAACTTTTAAATGTGCTTGGAGGCTACACCCTGTAGTTACATTTGACATATCCAGTGTGGATTTTAGATATTTCATCCAGTAATCACTTATCAGATTTTCACATCCGATATTTCAATTGAAGAATATTGCTGGCAGCCACTTTTAAAGAATGCCCACAGTGAGGAAGCTGAAAATCCTTCCCGGCTTATCCGATTGTACTAATTCTTCAGAGCGGATTAGATACATTAGAAAAGAATTAGAATTAGAGGTATCAGTCGTGAGACCCCAGAACATTTCAATAGAGGAGGGAGAAAGCAAATTATTGGAAGTCTTCTGCTAAGTGAAAATCAGGGACAGCCTGAACAACATCTCATTTACGAGTTTTCCAAGTAGAAAATGCTACTAAATATCTGCAGTCACTGCAACTTGTAATGAAATAAAAATAACCTGAGTGTTAATTGGCTCAGTTCAGTGGTGTTTGCCACATGTCCACTTAACGCCTTATTTTAACAAATCTTATCTTCAGAGTGCATGTCAGAAAAGTAAGTAGCCAACAATTGAGCACTGTTTTTTTTTGGGGGGGTGTTCACTGTTACCTGCTATTTTGATTTCTTCCCCATTGAGCTTCTAAACCCACAATCAATATTTCTCCAAGTGTATTCCAGGACTAACTGTATCACCTGACTACTTCTTAACAATATAGTTAGGATGATTCTACTTATATCTGTTAGGTGTTTTCAAGCCCATACTCAGCCTATACACCATCAGACTGTTGAAGAGAGACCTAAAAATCCACTTCATTAAAAAAAAATAAGCTTTGCCTTTGGCAAAGCCTTAATTCTTGGTAGAACTTAAACCACAGGCAGACACCAAATCCATTAGCTGCTGTGAGTGTTCGCTGTCTTTTAATAAAGCTGGCCTACTAAACTGAGTCCCCTAGGACTACGTTTAGTGCAAGCAAAAATAACCCACCAAATTTGGTGCTGAGAATTTAAGGAATGATTTGCTATATTAAAAATTTATATCACAAGTGAAATCTGTAATCATGTGGAAAATGGCATAACAATGCTAAGTATGTACTTAGTATGTACTAAGTACATGCTAAACGAATGTCGCCATTGTCATCATGAAGGGCCACGGGATCAGCGTGCATTTCCAGAGCCGTAAGAACTAGTGTGGTGTATATTAATAATGCGTATTTATTAACGTGTCCAAACACCATGGTGCCGATTACACCATATGGACTGAATCACATGGTATGGACTCAATACATAGCGTATGTATACATCTTCTTTATGTATTTTTTTCATTTATGGTAAGACACATATTAGCGTAGCTAGGTAAACAGATCGGTACTTGTAGGAAATTAGGTTTTGGTGATGTTTTTGTTTGTAAGGTAGGCTGAATTATTTGCTTCAACTTTTCACCTTGGCCTCTCTAATCGACTGCCCTGCAAGCCTTTAAGTCTACCCACGCACGCGCGAAGGAGTCTGTTCTCTGCCCTCCTCCTTAATATTGAGCTCAACCATGTGACTTGCTTCGGCCAGTAGGATTTTAGGAGCTAGAACACGTGTCGTTGTGCGTCGTTGTTCGTGCAGAGCTCCCTCTAGCTCACCGCGGTTCCCACCAGAAGCAGAGACCACGGCCAGCTACGGGCTCCAGGGTGAGACTGAGGGCGTCCCCAGCAAACGCAGAGACACGTGAGTAGAATTCCTCGGAGGGCTGTGGGCAGTTCTAATGCATCAAAGATAACTGATAAACTTTAATCCCCTCCTCCGTTTTATTACACAGCTTTTCAAGACTTTTCTTCCAGGAGGCCCACATTATATAGTATAACTGCTTTTAACTTCACCGTAATCTTTCATCAAACTACTTTTGCATAGAGCAACAGGTGTATCTTAAAATTTTTTTTTTAAAAAAATGTGCCTCACACGTAACAGGAACCGAGTAAATGTAGAGGAAATGAATCAATTTATAGCGATGAGTCTAATACACAAAGTGGACTCGTGTTGGCTTTGGAGGGGCACGATACGAGTTCACGGGAGATTGACATAGTGGTCCCAGTGTTCACTTCCTCCCACTAGTCATGTATATTCACGCCCTGCCACGTGCCAGGTGGGAAAGGAGCCCTCGGTCTGGGGCTTGGACATTTGTCCGGCAGTGGTGTATGTGCCGTTCGCAGCCATGACACAAATGAAGGTCTAAACAGTAATGGAGAAGTGGAGTTTGCCCTCCTGTCACCATTACTGTTGCAAGAAGAACACACCCCAGGTAGACCAGTCGTCCCACTGATCCGGGACAGAGAGAGAGAGAAGACTGGGACCCAGGCGATAGCTTGGAGCCAAGTTCAACCTAAATCAGACAGCCCCCGGCCAGCACTCAGCTGTGTGAGCAAGAACGAGTGATGGCTGCCCATCATTTACGCCTCAGAGTTGCAGGTGGCTTGGCGCAGGCAGGATTGCAGGGAGAGCTGGTACTTATCTGTGATGAGATATTTTTGCATGCGACTAATTAATGAATAAACCACACGGTTTATTTAATATCCACAGAGAAATCGTCCAGTGCTTACAGATTCTCTAATCCAAATGAATCTAGTATACCTTATCACATAAAGCAAAGAGTTCTTGACAGAGATGTATTATATCACAATAGCAGTTACAATATTAATTCTAAGCTATAAAATACACTACTATTTCTTCTAAATGTGTTATGCATGTCTACAAGTACATGCACATGAAATCACACATATCCATACCGAATTAACTGTGAAACTAAAGTTTAGACGTAGGGTCCACACTGCTGGTTACTTATGCCCATCGTCCATTCCTCCCTGCCTTCTTAATGGTACCAGACACAAGATCATCTGGACTAAAGGGTAGGAGCAGAGGGTGGGGGTAGGGGTTCCTGGCACACCGTTTGTCACGTGTGGCAGAAGTGATTGAAGCAGGGATGGGCATCTGACAGGTCTCTCCCTGGAGGTAACTCCTTGCACCCCAACTCTATTTCTCACGGGTGTCTCCCTCCAGCCTCTATAAGTTGCATTAAAGTGGGTTACAACTGAGGAAGGATAGAATGACTAATTTTATGTGTCACTTTGGCTGGGCTGTGGTGCCCAGCTTTGTGATCAAACATTAATCTAGGTGTGTCTGTGAGGATGAGATTCATGTTGGTGGGTGGGCCTCATCTAATCAGTTGAAGGGCTGAATAGAACAAAAGACAGATCTGCCCCGAGTAAGAGGGAACCCTTCAGCAGAAACCTTCATGACCCTCCCCTGGGTCTTCTGCCCACCAGCCCACCCTGACCCTGCAGATTTTGGACTTGTCAGCCTCCAAAATCAGAAATGCAAATTTCTTAAATCTTTATGTATACACAATCTATTGGTTCTGTTTCTCTGGAGAATCCTAATACCAGGGCATAACTAAAATAGTTACTAAATATAATCTATGTTCATATCCGAGTTCTAGAAGAAACTCCTAAAATGATCATGGTGATGACGATGATAATTGCAATGCATAGCTATGCAAATTACATTATAATCGACTTTATTTAAAATCTCACAGTGCTATATTGTCCATTCCCGGCTATCTATCTTGGCCCCCGCATGTTATTTATTAATTTACTTATCAAACAAAACTATTGTGCACCGTAAAGGAGTTAAACCATAAATCAA